ATATAAAGTTATACATATTTTATTATGTATTATTTTGTATAAATTATATTACGATTTGACATAAATTTATATAGGTTTTATATTTAATTTATATTGGATCATTTAAAAAATATCCGTGGTTTTTTCATTCAAAAATTGAACAAAAAATCACGGACACTTTTTAAATGACCTAATACATGTTCCTAATGTGTACAATATTTAAGAATTCTATTAAATATTCTGAAACAAATAAACATGTCAAGGCACGTTACCGAAACTAGCCAATCCTGCTTCTGTTTTTGCATTCGTTTGAGCTCATTCAGTCTATTTGCACGTATTTTTTCATAATCATTGATATCAAAATTATCTAACTTGTCTAATTCTGCATCCAATTGCTGCTCAACATGATTGGCAACTTCTATGACTTTCTGTTGAAGTACAGCCTCCATATTGCTGTCAATTTGAAAAAATGGTGTAAAAATTTGTAAATACCTTCTGTGTTCATTATTTTCTTATCATAAAGGAGATACAACAAATTACAATGCGAAACAGCTTTTTGTATATATATATATATATATATATATATATAATATAAATAAATATATTAATAATAAATACAACTAAATATGATTAAAAGATATTTATCCAGAACTTCTTTCAATTCTAATTTTGATGAAATTAGACTCATTTGACGTCTTTTTATACGAAACGAATGAATCTGACAAAAAAATTTGACTCTGCCTCGCGAAGCGAGATTATTGTCGATTATGACATGACAGGTTTTGTAACCTCAATAGTGGTAAACTTCTATGACTAATATCTTGCTTCGCTGGGCAGAACCACATTTTTAAAAAATCTGATAAAAAATCAGATTCTTCAAACGAGCATAATTTCATAAAAATTGAAGTAGCTGAGCAAGGTCTGTTGGATAAATACCTTCAGTAATAACTTGACTTGAATAATAACTTGAACTCGCTATTTTACAATTCAAGGCACTTCTTAACCATATATAGAAATGTCGCTACTGAAAGTGTGACGCCTTAGCACCAACGAGATACTAAAGACCGACATCCTTAACGGGAGTTCGCGTCCTTGTGAATATTGAAGTAATTAAAAGTTAAAAAACTGATAATATTGTATTAATTTTAGGGTTTATTAGTTTAGTAGACGTATTTATGCATTTAGAACTCAATAATATTCGATATACTTCTTTAAAATTGTGATTTCAGTGTTATCATCAAAGTTTGATTATCAATAGAGATGATAACTGCAGAGAAAAAAATTGTAATTTTTCTGGAATATATAGGATATAATTTTGCATTTATTTCTGGAACATTTATGTAATAAAAAATCATGAATTTAATAATGTATGAGCCAAATATTTATGTTAATATAATAGCAAATTTATATCAATTGTCGATAATGTCAGCATTCTTCAATTACTTTCGAGCTCTTGGGGTTCTTTTTATACCACCGAAAATTTGCCCAAGGTTGACAGTCTTTAATAGTATCTCATTGGTGCCTTTAGCCTTTAGTGAAGAGCTTCGCACAATAAAAGAAACAGGGAACAGAGAACAAAGAATAAGAATTTCAACCTATCAGAAATCATGTATTGTGGAATACACAGTTTTTGATATTGGTTGAAATTCTTATTCTCTGTTCTCTATTCCTTCTTCCTATTATTATGCAGAGTCTCTGACACCAGAGAGAAACCTAAAGCCGGTTCTACATTAGTTGCAAGCCGTCGCAAGTTTGTTGCGATAGCCAATATGAAGCGTTGATTTCAAAATGCAAGCTTCAGATTGGCTGTCGCAACAAGCTTGCAAATAATATAAAACCGGTTTAAGAGGGGTCATGCTGACCTTTTTCCTTTACCGTGAAAACCTTTACCGTGGAAATTACCTCTACACATACACTATCGCCAGTACATTCATTTTCAGTATGGGAACTATGTGACTATATACATTTTCTGACACTATCGATAAAATCGTCAAAAGTAGATGTGGTTCGTTTCTATACTAAATCCTCAGGATAGCGTGTTGACTATCCATAGGAGAGATAGTGATCAGAGGTTTCTCTCTGGTGCCATGATGAAAGTAACAAATATGTTTGTACGTAGAAACTTTTGATTGATTGCCGAAATCCGTCATATGTAATAGCTAACCGCTACTTTCAAATGAGCTGCAATTGCGTAAACTTTTTACGTTTCCGGATAAAGGATAAAGTTACATAATCGCTCTCCATGAGTATACACATTTTTTAAGTTTAATTGATTAGGATACAGAAATCCGAAGACTTCGATCTTTTTTCAGTGACTTTTGAACGCACTAATCATGCGGACGCTTAAATATTTAATGTTTATTATGAAAATTTTTGTCTTACTTTTCACAGAAATAAAAGAATTCAATTTTTTTCATTTTATGAAGAAAAATATTATATAGAGCACAAGGTATTGATAAACTTAGACATATATTTGACTCTTTTTTACTTATTTGATAAATATATAAATAAATATGTATATATATTTATAAATATATAATAATTACTAGCACGATCACATATTTTGATATAAATAGGATCAAGATGGATATTTAAAAAAGAATCATTAATTTAAATTGTATTTATTAATACTTTCAGGCAGTAAATATTACAATGATTTTATTTTTAGTTTCACATTGATTGTTTCTTGATATTAATAATTAATGACATTTATCCTATTTATCAGAAGATGAATAATTAAAAAGAATTGGAGAAGCGGTTCCAAACCATAATAAAAACAAAAATTCATTAAAAATCATCATTATCAAATATTGAATCATTTAAAAAGTATCCGCGGTTTTTTTATTCAAAAATTGAAAAACCAGATACTTTTTAAATGACCTAATACATACACAAAAAATGAAAATGTAAGCAATATTCAATAATCGTACTCATTTAAGGATAAAGGCTTTGCATTTATTCATATTCCAAGTAAGGTTGCGTATACTTGCAATAAAATGAAAGAAACTTTTTAGAGATAGCTATGTGTTCTTTCTAAATAAAGATCTTTTTTCATACTACATAAATGTTAGTTAAGTCAAGCTTGAAAACGTAGCAAGCTAAAGTAGGCCTTTATAAAAATGTAATTCAAGTTTTATTGCAAAAAGTAATGCTACTCACTTTCTATGCTAAATCCATCATGAATTTCATATGGATCATGATGGAAATTTTTATAATTTATTAGGATAGAGAAAGAAAGAATAACATTAGGTTCGTACAGAAAAATCAGTATACAAAATATTCCGTTGTGGATGTCTCATAAAGATCGTAATAATACTTAAGGATAGATTCCTAAGATCATTTTGAGACGAAAATTTTCATTAACCATATTAAAACAATATAAAATTACCAGTTCTAAATTCAAAAGTTAATAATATTAGGATCAAGGGTCATCTTCTTTCCTATAGTTAACAAGTTCTATATTGTTATCTAATCTAATGCGTTATCTTTCTTACTTCAAATCTCTCTATCTTCATTTTTCATCACATTTTTTTCATTATACTTCAATACTCGTCTATCATTGAGTTTGTTATAATAGTTTGGTTAATCAGTTATATAATAAAATTAACAGAATTAAAAATTGCGAGTTCATCAGATTTGACTTTACTGTTTTCATGTGATTTCGGACTAAATATATAAAGTTAGTGAATCACTTAAAGTTTGTGAGTTTCGGGTGTCGGTAGTGTAAAATACCAACCACATCTGAACAACTTTAAACAATATGATTCACTAAATGATTATAGTAAAAAAACTATTATGGCCTCAATATTTTGGTATTAAAATTTTCGTCTTAAAATGATTTCAGGAATCTACTCTTAAGCGTTGTTATGGTCTTTACGGGACGCTCGGTGACAAACAATTGATAATGAGTAAGGACAAATTAAGATCCTACCAATTGTGTGATCATAATAAAGACTACAAATTTAATCATAATAATGCTATCGAAAAATGCATTTGAGGAGACACTATTAGCGCTATTTTGTCATTCTATCTTCATAGTTTAGGCACAAAACAAGTATAGAATGACACAAATAGTGTTAACAATGTCTTCCCAAATGCACCAAGAAACAACGCAATGACAATCCCTAATGCCTGCAATAACAATAAACATCAGCTATTAATATATTATATTAATATTTTAATTAGATTATCAGCTTTTATGAAAAGACCTACAATTTTCCTCTTATATAAATAAATGCGTGATTATATGTTAAATGACTCTAATTGCGAAGTACTATGTATATTTAAACTTGAAAAATATGTGTGCATATATAAGTCTTATAAAAGTAATAATTATTCTTAAGTAGTTTTCAATTCATTCTTTGCTACTTTCAAATATTTTTTTTAAATATAATCGAAGAAAAGAAATTGTAAGTAGAAATTTGAATATTTTTATAAATCAACTATATAATAATTAATAAATAGATTTATAAATGATCTTGTAAAGTGTAACCTTAAAGAAAGTAAAAGAACTATAAATGCTATTATAGTTCTTTTCCTAATTCCTAAAAATTAGACACATTTATATTATTACACTTATGATTTCAGTATTTTTTTCTTTCTTTCATCACTATGAAACATCAATATTTGAAAAATAATATCAAATATTTTTTAAACTTATTCTTCATTAAAGAAAAAAATGTTCATACAAATATTTAAATTTATAAGCCTTTACTCTGCAGTCTCAAACGTTTTATAGAAAATGTATGCAAAAAGTAAATATAATCAAACATTTTTTGCTATATCAAAAATTTTCACCGTATAATAATCTTGTTAAAATATCTGAAACGTATCTGTCACGATCTTGAAAGTTCTTTCAACATATTTATATATTCTCATTGCTTCAACGAAACTATTAAGCCCTGAGAACATTTGACACAGCAGGAACGCCTGCAAGATTCTAAAATTTTATTGAATAATACCTGAAGTATACATTTGCATTTTCAAAATGTATTTGTAGATAAGAAAATTTTTATAGGCAATGATATTTTGAAATTTTCATTCATTGGAATTTTTAACATACAAGAAACGGCAAACATCTATGAATCGTTCCCTTGGATAACCCATATCACTTATCCATATTTTGAGATGTGAAATAACAATAGTATGTTGCATTGACGCATTTCAATGCACAGGAATGACTTTGGGAGAATACCACCAAGGGCTAGTCACAATTAATTTATGTTTGCTGAATATTTACATCAAACGAATTAATATCTCTAGTCAGCCTTGCGTGGCTTACGCTTGCGAATATTAGGACTACTGGTATCAGCTTTACTGTCTTTATCTTTCTCACTCGTTTCTACTTCATTCATCTCAGATTCTTTTGTTTCAGATTCCTTTGCTTCAGATTCCTTCGTTTCAGGCTCCTCTGTTTCAGATTCTTCTTCATCTATTAAATCATCCCCAATGTTTTCTGCAATTTCATCCTCGTCTGAATTTTTTTCTTGAATAGGACTGTCTGTTGCACTAGTCTGTTTCTTCTTGCCTTGTTGCTGTGCCGGTTTTTGTGGGAAAAAGAAGTCAATCAAACACACAACAAGCTACAATCACAAATACAGTTAACATCATCTGTTTGTTAGATATATAAATTTTATGTATCATATAATTATAAAATATATTATTCCTACCAGTCCTAATATTGTGCCTAAAACAACTGTTGCAGCAGCAAAAATTAAGTAACTACCCCACACAGGTAGTCCAACATCTTCCAAAAGTTGATTGTGGATATTCTGAGTGAAAATAGTAATGTTTCATTGAAATTTTTACAATAAACGGTAATATTATTTGTGTGTGTGTGTGTGTGTGTGTGTATGTGTGTGTGTACATGCATATGTGTATGTAACTTACACGTAACATTTGGGATAACTTAAAAAATTGACTTAAAAATGACATATGGAATGAAGTTGGATTTTTCCAACTAGATATCGGATCCACTTTCGTCCATGTCTTTTCAGATACAAATTCGATCAACGATGATATATCTCTCGGGCTCTTATACTGCCTAAATATTCCATTGTTTACACTAAGAAATAAAAAATTAATTCTAAGATACATAGTCATAAAATTTAATATAAATTAATTTGCAAATATTAAAAAATAATTATGTTAATATATATATATATATATATATAATATTAACATAATTCACGTCCTCTTGCTTATAACCTAACATTCCCTCCTGTCTTTCTTAGTAAAATACTT